AATCTGACCATGACCTACTGGTTCATAGGTTGATGCTCAACTGCTGAGCCATACCAGCTGGGCTATTTTATTATTTAAAAATATTTATATCTGTATCAGTCAGGTCAGAAAAAGAAAAATGAAACTGAACCAATCAATTTAGCAGCAGACAGACTTCAACAAAGAAGTTCATTAAGTTGATGCTGAGATGACAAAGTGGGAATATGTATTAACCAAAGATAATAAATGCAGAAATCAGTTTTCATTCCCTAAGCCTGGGCAACAAAGGAATGAGGTTTGGATATTGAATCTAGAAGGTTGAAGGGATGCTCCTGTAGAGCCAAGACCCAGACCTCTGACAAGGAGGCATCGGACAGCTGGTACTGTTATGTCGGGGACAGAAAATGAGACAGAGTATGGAGAAAACAGGAGGCAACTGCCACTGTGAGGGGGAAGAACCATGGGATGATGCAGACAGGAACAGAGAGCAAACAGGAAGCAGCAGGAACTTTTCTTGTCTCTTTCTGTGCTCTCTTTTGGCAGAATCTAGTAGGGAGCCAGCTGGCAAAGGAGAAATGTGATTTGTAGATTCCCAGCCTCAGCAACACAAAGTCCAGAATAAATGGGTGAGGTTGGGCTAAGAAACAAAGAATTAGTACCCACACAGTCCATCTAGCCTTTTGACTACGTAGCATCCATACATACCTTTCGATACATAGTTGATCTTCCTTCCATTTAACAACCATACAATGTCATGTTTCACCTAACCTTGAACAAAGAAGCTTTCATCTGCTCCCTGATCCTCCAGTCATTCTATCCACCCTGTTTCATTTTCTCTATTATTTTCTTTTTGCTTCTTGCCTTTGTTTGGCCCGAGTCTCCTCCAAACAAATCCGTTTCCCCTCTATACTATATTGAAAGTTTTATACTTAGTTTCTCTTTGTTTGGTGGTTACTTATGTGTATTTAACAAAATCCTCTCCATTTATAAGTTCTTTGATTGTGGTTCTTTTTTAAACACTAACATTTGACATTATTGCTGTACTTTAAAGAATCTTTATTGTTGAAAGTATTACATATGTTCCCCCTTTTTCCCCATTGACCCCTTATTGCCTGCCTCCGCCCCCCACCCCAGGCCTTCACCACCCTATTGTCTGTGTCCCTGGGTTATTGCTGTACTTTTGATAGAGTAAATATATGTTTACCTTTCACTTTGGTTTGCTATTTTTTTTTCACCATTCATTTTTATGTTTTTTGTTGTTTTTTAATCCTCACCTGAGAATATTTTTCCCATTGAGAGAGTGGAAGGGACCTTCTAGTTTATAGGTCGATGCTCAACCACTAAGCAATACCAGCTGGGCTCTACTGGGTTTTTAATTTCTCACTTCAGTAATTTCTAGTTTTTCTTATTCAAATCTTCCTCATTAATCTTGATAGTCTCTTTTCCCTCAATAATGTTCAAACTCCATCTTTAATTTCTTTAAAAATTTAATATATATTGACCTGGCTGGGAAGGTTAGCAGTTAGATAGTCAGCCAACAGATGGAAGGGTCATGGGTTTGATTCCCGGTCAAGGATGTACCTGGATTGCAGGTTTGATCTTGCCCTGGGTGAGGCACGTGTGGGAGCAACCAGTCAATGTGTCTTTCCTACATCGATGTTTCTCTCTCCCTCCCTCCTTTTCCTCCACTCTCTCTAAAATCAATGGAAAAATATCCTCAGATGAAGATTAATACAATAAAACATTAAAATGTAATGTGTTTATTTTGTATCCTGTACCTTATAATTCCAATATTTATACCATTTGTGGGTCTGATGCTGAGATTTATTGCTTCTGCTTTTGTGGTTTGTGGAACTCATGTTCCTTGGGATTTTATCTGTAGAAATTCTTTAAAGTCTGGGTTTAAAATGTATTTCTCTGGATAGAGTTAGTGTTTGCTGATGCCATGGACCTGTGGGAATAGCTGACTTGGAACATTCTAAAATTTTGCCTGGAGGTCTTTCTGGGTACACAGATAGTACACATTTAGGTTCTAATCCAGTGATGGCGAACCTATGACTCGCGTGTCAGAGGTGACACGCGAACTCATTTCTTTGATTGATTTTTCTTTGTTAAATGGCATTTAAATATATAAAATAAATATCAAAAATATAACTCTTTGTTTTACTATGGTTGCAAAGATCAAAAAATTTCTATATGTGACACGGCACCAGAGTTGTTTGCCATCACTGTAATCTAATCCCACAGGAATGTGGGCTTACCATTAGGAATTCTCAGGGGAAACTTTCTCACTTTACTCATTAGAGAGGCAGAGACAAACAGCTCACCGCCATCCTTTTCCAAGGAGAAGGTTTTAAAAAAGGTACAAACTGAGGGTTGGCTCTCAGTTCTGGAACATTATATGTAGGTCTCTGACCTTTCTTCTCACTCTGCTTGAGTCCCAGGGTTTTTCTTCTGTGAAAACGGCCTATTAGCACCCGGGTTTAAGGCAGATACCCAGGAAGAGTGATGAATCTGTAGCTCTCTTTACATCTCTGGGTTCATGTTTCTTGTTTTCAGTCTGTAAGGATGGAGTTCGAGTGAGACAGCTGAGAGGAAGAACCTGGGTATCTGGGCCCCACGCCTCCCCTGCAGCCCTTCATTGGATTAGAGAGCTAATTTACATATAATTAACTGCACCCATTCATTTTAAAATTAATTATATCCTGTCCCTTGTTTCATGGACAAGTCCATTTACGTATCCAATAGTTACTGCCCTTATTCAGAGAACCCCAAAGGACTGGTACATCCTAAAACCAAGGAATGTCTGTTACGGTTGAATCGTCTCCCCGTAGTCTCACACGCAAAATCATACGTGGAAGCTCTAACCCTAGGTGCTTCAAAATGACTGTATTTGTGAAACTGGACAACCAATGGGTCTGGCTGCTGTCACTACTTGAGCCAGTTAAGCAGAGACAGGGTTGAATCATGTATGAGCGTTTATTCCCAAAATGTCGGCAGTATGAGGGATCAGCAGGTGATCCATGAAAATCTGCTTTAGCCCCCCCCACCCCAATAACCAGCTGCTTATATCGGGTAGAAGGATAAAGATTACATGGGAAAGCGGTAGGAATTACAGGCCTGAGGAAGCAGGCAGGTGTCATGGTACAGGTTACAGGCAATGCAGGCCGGGGGTCGCAGAGGGTGGGCACCTCCAGACCCAGACTGTTGCATGTTAATCTTTTCATGGTGATAGGCAGTTCTCAGAAAAGGAGAACGGACTGCATTTCGAGATGAACTCCCATATCCAGGGTGTACAACTCTCAGCTAAGGTCAGAATGTGCTTTCTCTAATCAGAACAGAACAATCATGGTTAACAGAGCGGGGTTAATATTTCTTAAAACTACAGCTATCCCCACTATCCTATCCCTGCCCCTCACATTTGAGACGGGGCCTTTAACAATGGGATTAAGTTAAAATGAGGCTGTTAGGATGGGCCCCAATTCAATCGGACGGTGTCCTTGTAAGAAGAGGGTATTTGAGCACAGAGACGCCAGGGATGTGTGTGCCAAAGAGAGAGACCCAGAAGCCAAACCTGCCCACACCTTGATCTTGGATGTCTAGTCTCCAGAACTGTGAGAAAATAAGTCTCTGTTGTCGCTTAAGTCATTCAGTCTGTGGTACGTTGTTACTGTAGCCTGCACAGACTGACACGCTCTCCAAGGCTATAATTCCAGACACCATCTCAGCCTGGAGGCAGGAACTCTGATTGCACATGGGAGCCTTTCCTAAGCTGTTCACATCACCCCCATAGCACAGCCTGGCTGCCAGACAGGCATAGCAGCCCAGGCCTAGGAGGTGTCTCATCCTGCATCATTATGCTTCTCTCTCCAGGGTGTCATGCATGTCCTTCTGCTCAAGAACGATGTGAGGACAGGAGACATCTTGGTGATGCTACAATCATTTCCAGATGACTTAGTGTAGAGGGGCTGTGGGATGTGCTGAGGACTGGAGGAGAGGTGAGAGCAGCAGGCGGGAGGGGGAGGGAGGAGGGAAGGAGCACCGCTCATGAAACCAGATTTCTCTCCAAGGTCTGGGCGAAGAAGGCATTTTACGAGGTCTGCAAACAGAGGTAAATGCAGACAGAGAGGGATGTCTGCTGAGTTTAGAACCAAGTGATTCGGAGGTGGCACAAGTGCCCCAGCCCTCTTCTGCCTCTTGATTAAGTCAGGAGGTGAATTCAGTTACAGATGGTTACACCTGTTAACCTTTATGCATTTCTTCCCCCAACCTTTATATATGACCAATTCATTCTCTCATCGAAAAAATATTTCCTGAGCACGATCACTGTCTTGGGCTGAGCAGTTAAGGGGACAGTCCTCCTGCATGCAGCCCCAAGTCTGGGCAGACAGGAGTGTGGTGTGTTGGAGAAGGGGCAGAAGGCGCTGCAGAAAGAACCAACCAGATCTGAAGGCATCAGTGAGGAAGTTGACCTGCAAGATGAAGGGGAGGGTGAGAGAATAAGTTCCAGGCAAAGAGAACCATGTTATCAAAGCCTTAAAGTCGTTAACGTGTCAGTTCAGGCGAGAGATGATGGTGCTTGCAAGAGGGTATCTTCTGTGGGGACTGAGAAAAGTGACAGGTTTAGAAACTCTGGATCCTCCTAAAGCAGTGGTTCTCAACCTTCTTAATGCCGAGACCCTTTAATACAGTTCCTCATGTTGTGGTGACCCCCAACCATAAAATTATTTTTGTTGCTACTTCATAGCTGTAATTTTGCTACTGTTATGAATCGTAATGTAAATATCTGATATGCAGGATGTATTTTCATTGTTACAAATTGAACATAATTAAAGCATAGTGATTAATCACAAAAACAATATGTAATTATATATGTGTTTTCCGATGGTCTTAGGTGAACCCTGTGAAAGGGTCATTCGACCCCCAAAGGGGTCGCGACCCACAGATTGAGAACCGCTGCCTTAGAAGGATGTGGCTCTCTCAGCTCCTGAGGAATATGACTCAATGAAATATCCAGCAGGCACGGGAGTGTATTAGTTTACTGTTGCTGCTGTAACATGTTACCACAAACTTAGTGCTTACAATAACACAGATTATTTTTTTTAATCTAGAAATTAATACTATTTTGAGTTGGCAAAATGCTCTTTTGCACACACATTTCCGGCATCTGGTACAGTTAACCGAATGTCCATTTTTACGCAACTCTCACACAGAATAGATTCCACAATGTCCTCTCATCTAAGCATTAAAAACGTTTGACGTTCTTCTAAGTCTTCACAGCATCCCTGTGAGGTAGGCGGTATTGACTTCGTTCCACAGATGGGGAGGTCTAGGCACGGAAAGGTGGTAGCTCCTCGGATGCCGCAGGTGTGCCCGCCGCGGCTCCGCCTCCACGCTCCCGGTCCCAGCGCCGCCGCCGCTCTGCGCGGAAGGATCTCACACAGCCACGCTCCTGTCCAGTGCAGAGTTAAACGAGGGTCTTCACAGCTCATGTTTGACTCCTAAATCCAACCACTCTCCCTGAACTGGAAAGACAAAAATAGGACTAAACCTCAGTCGGGATTATTTGCTCCATTTAAGACTTTCACGAGTCGTCTTACATTTTGTAGCTGTGCAAGCGCTCAAACCCCTTTGGAAGACAATTTGAAATGGCATCAGGGATGATGAAATTTTGAGAACGGAACATAGAAATCAATAGTTTATAGATTTGAATCAAAACACAAAACTACGCGCTATGGTATTGTAAGAATAAAACCCAAATCGACGGAGAGCAGTACTTCCCAGTGTCTGACAAGGCCTCGCACAGAGCAGGTGTCCAGTAAGTTTCTTGAACGAAGGCCAGATGACACATGTTCGACATGCCTGCCATTGATGACACCCCCACTGGGGAGAAGGGCAGGGGCAGGAGCCGGGTGGTCCCGGGGGCTCCCTGGTAACACAAAGCCGCTCGGCCGCTCGATCGTCTGGGTGTGGATGCTCCTTTTCTGCCAAATAAAAGTTGGGGCTGTAAACACCGAGCCCCCTGAACTTATACTGCCATTCACGTAAATAGGTATGTAAATAGGATAAATACACGGAGAGCCTTTTCAGGAAGTGTCTTGAAAACTGGATAGATGCTCATGCGCCGACCGAGGACGGGAATGAGGAGGTTAGAGCTGTGCTGCTTGTGGGTTCCGGTTAAAATGTATCTCTAACGCTGGAAAGCCCTGGTGCCCACGCCCCTTCCGGAGGAAGAAACCTGATTCTGAGTAATGAGTCCACCTCCCCCGGGGGCGGGGGCTTGGTTACAGCCTAAACAGCGGGGGCCTCAAAGGACGGCGTCTGCCTGACACCTAGGCTCCTGCAGCCTGGCTCGCCCAGCGCCCTCGGGAGCGCACTGCTGATATTGCTCTTATTTGCTCCTTGTCCAAGAACAGATTGCTCCGGGAAGTTGGCGGGGGTGGGGGTGGGGGTGGGGGGTCCTTTGGTCCAGGGCTTCTGACCATTTGGTCTTGAGGGATATTCCCGAAGAGGAAATGGTGAGTATAAAATGATTAAGAAAATCCACCCTGCAGAGTGGCCGGCGGAGGCCGGTTTGTCCCGGGCTGTACGGAGTGGGAGGCACCGCGGCCCCCGGGGGGCATAGCTCCACCTTGACCCCTTTTACGAAAGGCAGGCCCGTGGGCACCCGCTTCTTATCCTCCAGGTACTCCAAAGAAGTGGGTCCGTGAGATTTCCTCTTCCGCCCGGTCGCGGAAGAACCGCCACACCGTCAGGCGTAGCCCACGCCGCAGATGGGGTTGCAGAGCATCACCTGGTTCCGACACCCCAGTCAAACCACCCCACGTAAGCAGGGTGCCGGAACCAGGCGTCACCGCGCTCCTCACCGGAGTGTGTTTCTGATTGTTCGTTCTGCACCACGTGGTTGAAGGTGGAACCAGCCTTGAACATCGCCGCTTTCCGCAGACGTTCTCCGGAGACACCATCAGCAGCCCGCGGCGCTGAGCCCGGCCACGTGGAGCGCCAGCGGCGGGCGGCCCTGCAGGCCGGTGCGCGCGAGCAGAGGCAGCGCTGGCACCGGGGCGCCCAGCAGGAAGGCGGCGGAGCCCCACCGCGCAGCCCGCCCTGGCGCGGACTGTATCCCCTGGGAAACCCGCCCACTGCGCTTGCGCACGGCGCCCAACGTAGATTATTTTAATAGTTTGAGAGGACGAAAATCTGAAATGAATCTCACTGGGCTAAAATCAAGGTTCTGCGGGGCTGGTTCCTTCTGGAGGCCCTAAGAAAAAATCAATTTCCTTGACTTTTCCAGCTTCTAGAGGCAACCTGTGTTTCTTGGCTCGTGGCCCCCTGTCCACCTTCAAAGCCTGCAATTGCATCACTCCAACCTCTGCTTCCATCATCACATCTCCTCTGACTCTCCTGCCTCCCTCGTCTTATGAGGACTTTTGGTAGTTACATTGGGTCCACTTGGATAATTCAGGATAAGCTCATCATCTAAAAATCTTTAACTTAATCACATCTGCAAAGTCTCTTTTGCCTCGTAAGATATAGTATTGACAGGTTGCTGAGATTAGAACATGCACATCTTTGAGGACCAGTATTCTGCTTTCCACAGGGGCAAGTTAGCAATGGGCTCTCAGGCACCAGTACATGCTATGTCCCTCTCCAGTCTCCCGCACTGTGTGCTGATCTCATCTCTCTTTTTCTCCGTTTCCCATTTATTCCTGCCCTTGCAACTCATTTAAAACAGATATCATTAGCTAGAGGCATTTGCTCCAAACCCCCTAATCCGTAGGAATGGTGGCCCAGGTTAAGGTGTCCTCTGGTTCCATGCACTGGAGTGAGCCTGATCAGACACGGTCTCCAGGTGGAGCTTCTAGAACAGCACAGTCCAAAAGAAATAGAGTGTGAGCCAGAGATGCAAGTCCTATATATGGATGTCTCCCAAAATGTATACACACCTCAACAGCTGATAACTTACTGAATTTCCACTCCTTTTCAGGTTAAACTGATTTGAAATAATGGGTGAAGCCAGACTAAGCTTTGAACAAAGAAAATTTATCCTGAAGTGCCACTAGACTATTTTTATGGGGATACATAAAATGCAAAGTTTACGGTACACAAAACCAGCAACAGTGGATGCACTGAGGGCACACAAATATGGAACAAAATGATTCTTTTAAAAATGAACACAAACGCTGGGGTGGTGGGGGCTTGCCCAGGGTGGGAATGGCTGGGGGGTATCAATTGAGGAAAAAGGAGACATATGTAAAACTTTAGACAATAAAAAAATAAAAATAAATAAAATAGCTATTTTATATTAAAAAATCAAATCTTTATTGTTGGAAATATTTCATGTCCCCCGCCACCCCAGGCCTTCACCACCCTATTGTCTGTGTCCATGGGTTATGCATATATACATACAAGTACTTTGGTTGATCTCTTCCCATCCACCCATCCACCCACCCACGGCTTCCCTCTGAGATTCCACAGTTTGATCTATGCTTTTATGTCTCTGAATCTTATTTTGTTCATCAGTTTATTTTGTTCATTAAATTCCACATATGAGTGACATTATGTGACACTTGTCTTTCTCTGATTGGCTTATTTTGCTTAGCATAATACTCTTCCGGTCCGGCCTTGCTAGTCAAAGGGTAAGAGATCCTTCTTTTTTACTGCTGCATAGTATTCCATGGTGTAAATGTATCACAGCTTTTTTATCCACTCATCTACTGATGGGCACTTGGGCTGTCTCCAGATCTTACCTATTATATATTGTGCTGCTATGAACATAGGAGGGGTGCATACATTCTTCCTGATTGATGTTTCAGGTTTCTCAGGATATATTCCTGAAGTGGGATCACTGGGTCAAATGGCAGTTCCATATTGAATTTTTTGAGGAAACTCCATATTGTTTTCCATAGTGGCTTCACCAGTCTGCATTCCCATCAGCAGTGTACTAGGGTCCCTTTTCTCCACATCCTCACCAGCACTTGTCATTTGTTGACTTGTTGATGGTAGCCATTCTGCCAGGTGTGAGGTGATACCTCATTGTCATTTTAATTTGCATCTCTCTGATGATCAGTGACGTTGGGCTTTTTTCATAGTCTCTTGGCCATCTGTATGTCCACTTTGGAGAAGTGTCTATTTAGGTCCTTTGCCCATTTTTAAATTGGATTGTTTGTCTTCCTTTTTTAAAGCTGTATGAGTTCCTTATATATTTTGGATATTAACCTTTATCAGATGTATCACTGCCAAATATGTTCTCCCATACAGTGGGCTTCCTTTTCGTTTGGTTGATGGTTTCTTTTGCTGTGCAGAAGCTTTTTATTTTGATGTAGTCCCATTTGTTTACTTTCTCCTTAGTTTCCTTTGCCCCAGGAGATGTATCCGTAAACATATTGTTATGAGAGATGTCTGAGGTTTCTTCTAGTATTTTTATGGTTTCCCGACTTACATGTAAGTCTTTCATACATTTTAAGTTTATTCTTGTGTATGGTGTAAGTTGGTGCTCTAGTTTTATTTTTTGCATGTATCTGTCCAATTTTTCAACACCATTATTGAAGAGATTGTCTTTGGTCCACTGTATGTTTTTGCCCCCTTTGTCAACTATTAATTGAGCGTAATGTCAACTATTAATCTGGGGTCTCTGTTCTGTCCCATTGTTCTTGTGCCAGTATCAGGCTGTTTTGATTACAGTGGCGTTGTAGTATAGCTTGACATCTGGTATTGTGATCCCTCCAACTTTGTTTTTCTTTCTCAAGATTGCTTCAGCTATTCGGGGTCTTTTTTGGTTCCATATAAATTTTTGGAGTATTTGTTCTAGATCTGTGAAATATGCTGTTGGTATTTAGTAGGGATTGCATTGAATCTGTAGATTGCCTTGGGCAGTATGGAAATTTTAATGATGTTAATTCTACCAACACACGAACCCGGTTTATTCTTCCACTTGTTTATATCTTCCTCTCGCTCATTTTTTAACATCATATAGTTCTGCGTATAAGTGATTTACCTCCTTGGTTAAGTTTATTCCTAAGTATCTTAATTTTTGTTGCAGTGGTAAATGGGATTGTTTAATTTCTCTTTCTGACAATTCATTATTGGTTTATAAAAATGCCATCGATTTCTGGGTGTGAATTTTGTCAAATTCCTTTATTAAATCCAGCATTTTTTTTTTTTTTGGTGGAGTCTTTAGGATTTTCTATGTACATTATCATGTCATGTACAAATAATGTGAGAATTTTACTTCCTTCTTTCCACTTTGGATGCCTTTTATTTCTTCTTCTTAAAAATACTTTTATTGATTTCAGAGAGGGGGAGAGGAGAGAGAGAGAGAGAGAGAGAGAGAGAGAGAGAGAGAGAGAAAGAGAGAGAGAAACATTAATGATGAAAGAGAATCATTGATTGGCTGCTTCCTGCACACGCCACCAGGGGATGGAGCCCACAACCCAGGCATGTGCCCTGACTGGGAATCGAACTGTGACCTCCTGGTTCATAGGTTGAAGCTCAAGCACTGAGTCACCGTGGCCAGGCTATTTCTTCTTGTCTGATTGCTGTGGCGAGCACTTCCAGTACTATGTTGAATAAGAGTGGAGAAAGTGGACATCACTGTCTTGTTCCTGTTCTTAGGAGAAATGGTTTTAGTTTTTGCCCACTGAGTATGATGTTGGCTATAGGTTTGTCATATATGGCCGTTATTACGTTGAGATAAGATTCTTCTATTTTCACTTTGCTGAGAGAGGAATTAAATTTTGTTGTTTAGCCACCCAGTCTGTGGTTATCTGTGTATAACTAATACACACTTCTTTTGCTAGTCTTCAATGCTGCCCTTGAACTACATTCCTGTCCTTCAATAAGTTAAACATAGAGTTGCCACTTAATCCAGCAATTTCATTTCTAGGTATATTCCCAAGAGATTTGAGAATGTGGTCACACACCAATGTGTACAGAACATTCATAGTAGCATTGTTCATAATAGCCAAAAAGAAGAAACAACTCAAATGTTAATTAACTGATGAATGGATGAACAAAAAAAGGTGTTAGATTCATGCAATGGAATATTATTCAGCCATGAAAAGGAGCGAAGGTCTGCCCTGACCAGTTTTCTCAATGGTTAGAGCATTGACCCTTGGACAAAAGGGTCTCAGATTTGACCCCTGTCCCCAGTTGGGGCGTGAGTGGGGGGCAATCAATCAATGTGCCTCTCTCTCTCTCTCTCTCTCTCTCTCTCTCCCCCTCCTGGTTTAGTCAACTGCAAACCCAGCGGGGCAGCTCTGCTCTGCTGCTCCTTTGAGTGGTGTTTGCTACTAACAAGCCCAAGGCCAGAAGTTAGCCCCTCTTTCCAATGTGGTGTGACCACAAGGCCTGGGAAAGTTACTGTGTTTTCAAAAGACATCCCAGTAAGAGTAGAGATGGAGGGGGTTGTGGCTGAGGGGTGCTGCTCTCCTGGCCTCAGCCAGTGGTCCTTCGTGTGGAGAACACTTTTTCTGGGCCATACACAAGGAGCAGCTGAGCCAGCCGGTCAGCGGGCGCATTATGGGGATCAGAGTTGCCCCAGAGCAGACAAGCCAGAGTGCTTGTTTCCCAGAGCAGACAAGCCAGAGTGCTTGTTGCTGTGTGCTAGTCCCCATTAGTTACAAACACATTACTCCTCTCAGTCCTCAAACAACACTACGAAGTGAGTACCATTGGCCACACTTCAAAGAAAATATCACCGACAGTGAATACTGAAGTTTTGTCTAAAGTCACAGTCACTGCGCTCTAGACCTTACATGCATCACCCCATTTATTTATTTATTTATTTATTTTAAAAAAATACATTTTATTGATTTTTTACAGAGGAAGGGAGAGGGATAGAGAGATAGAAACATCAATGAGAGAGAAACATTGATCAGCTGCCTCCTGCACACCTCCTACTGGGGATGTGCCCGCAACCCAGGTACATGCCCTTGACCAGAATCGAACCTGGGACCCTTCAGTCTGCAGGCCGATGCTCTATCCACTGAGCCAAACCGGTTAGGGCGCATCACCTCATTTAGTCCTCACGGCGACAGATGAGGTGGGAACCGTCATTGCTATAACTTGTAACCACAGAACCAGCTCAGAATGGTCCTATCCTGTTTCTAACAAGATACAAGTTGCCTTTGA